AAATCTTAAAAAAAAAAAAAAAAGTTACTGTGCTTAAACTGTTTGTACAAACAATGTGGTTTATGCTAAAAACCTGCTCTCCTTCTGGGAGTCTGAAATTTTGTTAGGTACCAGTCAGAGGCAGTGCCAGCCCCCAAATATAAACCCTGAGAGCTGAGCCTCTAAACAAGCTTCCCTGGTAGAAAACATTTCATACATGTTATCACAACTTGTTGCTAAGGAAATTAAGTATGTTCTGTGTGACTCCATTAGCAAAGCACTCAAACACTAGTTCCTCCAAACTTTGCCTCAGGCACCTCTTTTCCCTGTGTTGATTTTGTTTGCAGACTGTCGCTGTAATAAATCGTAGTAAGTGCAACCATTTGCTGAATTTTGTGCATCTTCCTAGCAAATCACTGAACCTGGGGGAGATGTTGGAGTCTCCCCAACACACACACTAAAAGTTACCTGAGTAAAACGTATACCTACCATCTTACCAGGCAATGTGCTCTTGGAGGAAAGTCATTATTCATACACAACAAATCTTGCATAGATTGTGGAATAACATCTACAAAAACATTTAATAGTGAAAAAATTAGTATGTTCATTTTAAGGCAAAATTTTATAACATGTCTGAAAAAAAATCACATTATGTAACATGTCATGCTCGTGTAGTTTTGCAATTGCTTAAGAATTTGTATCTAGGACTAGCTCTAAGATTTGGGATGACAGATGTCTCTCTCCCATTGTCCTTTATTTTAAAAAAGCCAGCCTCTAAAAACGAAAGTATTATTCTTACATGTGTAGTATTTCCTTTCTTCTAAGTCATGACTCAAACGTTTTCTCATCCTTCCTAGAAAGCCATGTTTTATCTGTTCTTCTTGGTCTGCCCTGTCCCTACTTTTCTTCAAAATTCTACTTAGACTCTTGTCAACATCTTATCACCTCCTATGGCTAGTCTTTGCTGGCCTCTGGCCATCTTAAGTGTTCTTATAAAACCACTAACCAGCTTCCCACTTATTACCCATGCATCTTTAAGCACTTGTATTGCCATTTATAGTAAGATACTGATATAAATGATCCTTATTTATTCATAAATGCATAATAAATTCAAAGTATAAAGAATATTTGTTCATAAAAATATTTCCTTTTGCTGTATAGCCATCATTCCTTAGCCAATTTATATTTTGTTCATTTTCAAAAAGAATAGGAGAACTTGATGCTTTAACTGAAGCAATGAACAACCCCAACAAAATAAAAGATCAGTGCTCAAATCTTCTGACCTCTGATAGTACAGTTTTAAATGTGTATCTCCAAATTAAATGAGTTGATGATTTACTTGTAACTTCTCTCATTAGGTACAGCCTTAATCACAACCAAACTGAAACTGCACAATACATATACATATGCAATAATAATGACTTAACTAACTTAAATCCATTCATCTTCTCTCATATCACAGTCTCCTATATGAGTTCATCTCAGAAACACTGATTCTAAGCCTCATTATTATAAGAGCCTCTCCTTGATAGATGATCTTTCCTCAAATAACAGCACTCAAGATTTCTCTACCTTAACAGTTCCTTCATTAGTCAGCAGAATGTAGGACCTGGAAATCTCTGGGCTATTATCAGACTTCCCACCAGTTGCACATATTTCCCTCAACCCCTTACTCCTAAAGTACATACATTCATCTTCTGGTGTAATTATTTTATTTAGTGCATAACTGTCACTATATATGTGTATAGATGGTCAATGTTATCTGTCCTAGTTTATGAATCTGAATACAGATGCTAACTATTGTTTCTAAAAAGAATGCACAGAATACAAAAGGTAATATAATTTTATTCCTATACAAGAATAGGTGCAAATATTTCAGGCCTACACTTACAAATGATAATCTGTTTTGATGAGAAAAACTTTTTTTAATTTATTTTTTCAATTGAAATATAATTGACATTTAACACTATATTACTGTCAGGTATACAACATAACAACTCATTAACTGTATACACTACAAAATGATCACCGTAAGTGTAGTCAATATCTGTCACCAGTTAACAACAAAACTTTCCTTGTCATAAGAACTTTTACAATTTGCTCTCCAAGCAACTTTCAAATACACAATACAGTACTATTAACTACAGTTACCATGCTGTACATTAATTACATCCCCACGACTTACTTATTTTATAACTGTAAATTTGTACCTTTTGGCCCCTTTTATCCTTTATAGACCATATCCCCTTACTGGACTGTAAATTTCTTTTAACTGTGGGTTAAAAGTGCACTCAATAAATATTTGTTAATCTAATTAATTTTGAAATGATTGCTATGACTGTTCTTTAAAAAGATCATATTCTGGGGCGCCTGGGTGGCTCAGCTGGTTAAGTGATTGCCTTCAGCTCAGGTCATGATCCTGGAGTCCTGGGATCGAGTCCCGCATCAGGCTCCCGGCTCGGCGGGGAGCCTGCTTCTCCCTCTGACCCTATCCCCTCTCATGCTGTTTCTCTCTCTCTCTCTCTCTC